ATAACGAAGAGGAGAGAGAGGAGGGGTGGGTTGTAAGATGAGTGGGGGGGGGTTGAGTGGGATCAATTTGTGTGGGGGGGGGGGGGGGGGGGATGGGTAAGCGAAAGACCGCTCAAAGTTTTAGATAACTACCATTGGTGAGTAATTCCAGTAAGCAAGGTATTTTCATGTATTTCCCCTTTTGTATTCAATTAGTGGTAAGCCGACTTCAGCTTTTCCTCACTCTCTCTACATTGCACTATGATGATGAACTTACATTAACATGTGTATAAATATATGAGCTTTTATGAGGATAGGCTGATCAGCTTAACATTAGGGATGCTTATGGGAACTTTTCTGAACTACAAGTTGCGTTGATGCAATTACGGATCTGCCTTCGAAAACTTGGAAAACATTTCTGCGTGGAATGGAAAGGACCATCATGTTTTAAAAGTATTAAATCTAACACTTTTCATCTTTCGAGGGTGTTATATCCCTGACACCCCATCGCGCTCCCGTCCCACGATTGGCTGGATTCCTGACTATAAAATTTATCTTCCGATGGGTTGAATAATAGTGTTACATTATATCGTTGAATGATTCTCATTTGTCCTAAGGTGTTCCTACATCTTTTGCGTAATTTGGATTTAATAATGCGAATACAAAGTATGGTCCTTTAAATATGAAAATACTGTTCAAAGAACAGCAAGAAAAATATATTCTTGTTGATTATCCGAGAGTAAATCATAATAAACAATCTGTTTTTTGCAGCCACTTTGCTTTACTCGCAATGAGAGACAAGTATAAAACAGGCATAATTAAAAAATTTCGTCTAGTCTCATGCAATCGTGACCTGTGGCGAAAACTAAGGACAGTGGATCCGGACTAGGGGTGTAAAGCTCATCCTCACGCTCATGAGCGTTCATATGAGTGTAACAGGTTTCTCAAAAATCGAGATATTTAGAAATCCAATCATCATGACTTCATTTCAATCCACAGCTTCTGTAAAAAGTAATTACGATATATCATATATTTGGTCATTCAAGTAACTTGATAGGGGTGTTTCAATGTTTATTCATCGATTGGTTTTCTAAGAATTGGTCGATTTATATAAGCTCGGCACTCAAAAATATGCTACATAATTCATTCCTCATAAAGAATTTTATTCTTGTCACTGCTCCTGATTGAAGAAAAGAACAAGAGTATGAGTAAATCTACTGGTGACCTTTGATCCTAATGGCAACTATATATTTATTTCTCGCAGTAGAAGATCATTCATCGTGCTTTATGCTAAGATCCTTGAAACTGTGTTAAGAGGTTCAGTACTGCATCTTTGCTGCAAAATTTATCGTAAGATGCTCACCTGGCGTTGAGATACTTGATGGTCAAAACCTGCACTTACGCACGAGAAAACATTCTTTAGAAAGTAAAGATAGGACCCATCCAAGAGTCCTCTTGTACATGAATGGAAATGAAATCTGATTAACTATGTTAGAATACTTATTTTGAATTCTATTTAGAGATTATATACGCTAAATGGGGTGTCCATGAGCATAAGTTGTAAACTTCTCTACTTCGCTTATTGAAAATAAAAGAATTAAGAGAACAGAAACAACATCCGTGAATCAGAATCTAGCAATTCGTTTAATTTTATTCGAACAATAAATAGGAAATCAATCAAGTAACTCATACTTTATGGTACTAATTCATTTACTTAGATCAATTTCTATACTAAATACTGCACTGCATTTTTATAAGGATAAAACTGAAGTTCAAAGTATCCAATATACTTTGAATTCTGAAAAGCTGAACGCTCATGAGCGTGAGCCGTACAGCCCTAACTCAGGTAGAAGTTTCAGTCTCATAAGGCTAGGCAGATGGCGGTTTTATTTTGTGAGACTGCCAACAGGTGGATAGACTTCAAACAAAATATTTCTTAGAGAATGGCGAGATGGGATTGCGAACGTTACGGGTGTGTTCCTCGGCATAAGAAAAAATTATGCTTCACATGTATCTGGTTCCTTAAGATCATATCATTTGGTCATATTATTACTATTTCATTTTAATTTTCTATTGCAATAACCTTAGATGATCGTGAAAACTTGCTTGGTTTTGCAATATTCTCCACACGAATAGCATTGTGCTTCACCATCAAATTCTTCATCTTCGTATGCGCTATGGAATTTATGAGAAATATAATCAAATAAATGAATTTTTTTTTCATTTTTGTACTACAAGATTTGTTTGCAAAGAATGTGTAATTTTCATCCTAAGGCTATAAGGAAACCTTAGACATCAGATCTGCATTGTGATTTGATGTTTTTTTTGCAGTGTATCTTTTCTCTCAGTGGTGATATTGTATAGTGCAAATAAAAAACAGTGCATTCGATTGCTTTTTTATTATGAATTCTTTTGTTATTATTTCATTGATGTTCTACATATTACACTCTAAGTTAAAGTGTGTTGGATGTGTCATGATTCACAACGCGTTCCACAACACATTCGAGCACGACACGAGATGCTCGTTGCAACA